AAAATATTGATACTATATCGCCCATTTCTACCCTACTTTACTCGATTTATCAGACAGTAATGAGTTGTCATGAATAATGAAGGTATTAGATGTTTGTGCCTATTAGATCTTTCTGCCCTAGTGAAACTAACTCATACTAAGTCGAACTCGAATTATCGTAAACACCCATTGTAGATCGGAACTAAAGCCAGCGGCACACGATGCTTGTTTTCGTGCTGGATTGCTTGCTGGATGGAAATACTAGGTTTGTTTGCATCGCATACCTCAACGTGCTCCTACTCACTCCAACGCACTCTGATTGGTTTACATCACCACGCGGACCAATCAAAGTACGTTGGAGTGAGTAGGAGCACGTTGTGGCATGCGACGCGAACAAATCTACTCTATTCTGATTGGTCCGTCTTCAGAAATACACCAATCAGAACAGAGTATTTCTATCCAGCAAGCAATCCAGCATGAAACAAGCATCGTGTTCCGCTAGCTTAATACGTGTCCAGTGCTGGAATTTTGTATCTCGTTATTGGAGTTAACGACAATTTCGTTATCGTTGCGCAGTTTTTCTACGGTATATAAGAGCTGCGCAACGATAACGAAATTGTCATTAACTCCAATAGCAAGTTATAGAATCCCAGCACAAAGCTAATATTTTGTTACCGTGGTTCCGATAGTTGTCGAATCGGTAGGCGTCGTTGCACAGTTTTTCCACGGTATAAAAAAGCTGCGTAACGACGTCTATCAATTCGACAACTGTCGGTACGCGGGAATGGAATAGTACTCCAGAAATATTTAGTTATTTCCTAGATTTCTATTGGCTTGGTTTACATAGGGTGTTTACGTTAAAGGGACGTCTACATTGGAAATAAATAGCAAGAAGTAGGAAGTAAGAGTAAGAAATTGACCAACCACAGTCGAATGTGATAAGAATAATTAACTATGATTGGTCAATTTCTTATTCTTACTTCCTACTTCTTACTGTTTACTTCCATGTAGACGTTCCTTTAATCAAGTAAGGGTGCCGTCCCATTGAGCACGGATCGGAACGCCGGATCGGATTTCTTACTATAATGAGCGTTCCGTTCTCTAGTTCCGTAAAAGTTTCCTCTACCGTCCCATGTAGCAAAAACGGAACGGATTTATAGTTATAAAATATATTTCACTCTTCAATTAAATATTTCAGAATATTTATGACAATGTTATCGGCAAGATAATTGCATAAATTATGTATATAATTAATTCTGTCGCGTCAAAATAACGAAATATTGACGAATTAATCATATTTATTTGCGACCGACGCGCCATTCCGTTCCGTTTTTGCTACCTGGGACTGGTAGAGGAAACTTTTACGGAACGGAACTAGAGAACGGAACGCTCATTATAGTAAGAATTCCGATCCGGCGTTCCGATCCGTGCTCAATGGGACGGCACCCTAAGAGTTAGTTCCACTAGGGTCGAAAAATGTAATAGGCACAACTGTCTAGTATCTTCATGATACAAGACAACTCAGTACTGCTTTCCGATGCTCGAGTAGTTAGAGTTGGCTAGAGTAGCATAGCGGATAATGTGAGCATCAGGTAGTTAATTTTCAAAAAATGTTAGTAAGTTTAATCTCATATAGTATGTTTATACTGAACGTTTAATACGCGTATCAATTAGTAACTTTATATCTAATTATTTTAATTTTGGCGATGCAATATATTCAATTAATACGATACGTGTTTCTAATCAATATTGCACTACTTCAATATGACATTGTTTATATACATCGCCGAAATCAAAATAATTTAAGATAAAATTACTAATTGGTATGTGTATTAAACGTTTGATATAAACATACTACATATGAGATTAAACTTATTAATAACTAACATTTTTTGAAAATCAACTACCTAATGCTCACGTTATCCGCTACGCTACTCTAGCTAACTCTAACTAACTCTATTCGAGCATCGGAAAGCAATATTGAGTTGTTTTGAATCATGAAAATATTAAATGGTTGTGCCTATTATATTTTTCGACCCTAGTGGAACTAACTCGTACTCAATTTAACGTAAACACCCATGCATTTGATACGCGTACTAAATAGTAACTTTCTATTTGATAATTTAATATCGTCGATATATATAAACAACGGTATATTAAGCTGGTATAATACTTATCAACAAAACGAATTGTATTGATAGAATACGTCGCTGTTGATATGCATTATCGATATTAAGATTATCTAATAGAAAATTACTAGTTAGTACGCGTATCAAGTGCACGATATAAACTATTATCTTTTCTGGGAGAAACGGAATAGGCTGGAGTCCTATGGCATGTATTTTCCGCATATCGCGTAATAACTCCTGCACATAGGACGTGGTAATGTTTGTTGCGCGGCGGAAGTTCGCGCGACAGCCAATCAATATGCTGCTTTCCGTAATAACTTTCTAGCTCTTACGGAAAAACAACATATTGGGTGTTTTCCAATTGCTTAATACAACTTGACATACACGTACACAAAATCAATTTATTGGTCACATATTATCTAAAATATCTTGTAAGATAATATGCAACCAAAAGCTGGTTTTGTGTAACACAGTATACGCAACTGGAAAGCACCCATTGATTAGCTGTCGCGTGGACTTCCGCCGCGCGGCAAGCATTACTGCATCCTGTATGCAGGAGCCATAAACGTGTAACCAATAGATTTCGACGTTTAGTATTTTTGTTGAAACTTTTAAAAGAATAGAAAGATGTGATTGGTTACGCGGTTACGCGAAAATACATGCTATGGGACTTCACCTTTATGGCTCTCGCAGACCAGTGCGATGCGCGACGCGACACACGATATGCGACGAGCAATATCCAATGAGCGTATTGGTATTCCGAAAAAGCTATACGTTCATTGGATATCGCGCATCACATATCGCGTGTCGCGTCGCAAATCGTTCTGGTTTGCGAAAGCCATTAGGGTGCTATTTCACGTGTCGTACGACAAGCTTTTCAAATACGTTTATTGGTTGGCAAATAGAGTCTTTCTAGGTTCTCTGTTCGTTAATCAATGAACGTATCCAAAAAGCTTATCGTACGACACGTGAAATATCAGCCTTTTTCCGATCAGAATCGATTCCGACAAGTTTCATGATACATGCCCGTAACTGGAATTATGAAAAGGGTGAAACTCACCTTTGCTTTATTTTGTACCGTTTATTAGAAATGTTTGCTCCTGCGTACAAGATGCAGCTACGATGTCAGCCAATCGAACATTTGCTTTTACGGAAGAGCTATGAGCTAATTGGTTGTCGCGTGACTTCTAACTACGCGATACGCGCAGCACATCCTGTCCGCAGGAGTCATTAGTAGCTAGCCGTATAGAGCCCGGTAAAGAGTAAAAGAGGTGGTGCTGGCAGCGTTGGTGGGTGCCTGGTGGATGCATCAGGAAGGGGATCGCCGCGGTCACGTGACCGAGCTGCGTTTTGAGCGCACTAACCAGGTACGAAGGGAATCCGTTGTTTTTCTCGTAGTTTTTCGCGCGCCACGGCCCCAAGCGCCGAGGTGCCGTGAGTCCCGCTCGCTTCTGCTTCCCGACGCGTCTAACGGAGCAGGCGTACGTCGCCTAACATAGCCGTGAGGTATACGCAAAAAATTCTCTTTCTCGGCCATTCCGACTACGCCGATCCCCGTCGATACACCGCCGCGCCGATGGTTGACAAACCTTCCTCTCGCACAAGCAGAAATGGCGTCCGCCGTGCACATGGCCTGTTGAAAAATATCCTCACCGCGAGACTCACGTTCTTATCGGAAGTTCGCGCAGTGCGTTATCTCGCTAGTCTGCCACTCTTCTCATTTCTTTTCGATTCGTTCCTACGTGCGGACGGTTTACGTGACGACGTGCGCCAGCGGTACTCAAAGACGCGCCCGACAAAGTGTCCTTTTTTTTCTTTTCATCATCGGATTCCCGAGGCTCAACGTCAAAATTCTTCTCGTTTCCAGTATTTTCCTGTTAAATTTCATCATTCACGATGCAGTTTTCCGCTTAGAAGATATTTACCGCGTGGCACCTTCCCCCCTCCTGTGTTTTCTCGTATTCTGATTGTACTTTCGGGACCGCGAAGGATTCTCTGAGGTGTTTCAGAGAATCATCGGCGTGCATTGTTACACGCATCGAAGAAGGCCACGCGAAAGATCTCACTTCTTTGTCGTGAAAAATTGCTGTGCGATAAGCGTGCACGTTTTCTTTTTCATCGTCCCGCCGGATTTTATCTTCAATAGTTTATCGTTATTAGATCATCCTAACCTTGTCTCGTTTTCACGTATACTTTGCAAGCGTAAATTTCATCTATTCAACCAAACGTTTTTTTTTTATAATTATTAGTATCTAAGGATTGTTTCTCTCTCACATGGTAAGACACATCCTTACAGCTATTATTAACAATAGTTTTAGATTTAGTAGAATTTGCTAGATTTTATATTCACCAGTTGCTTCTAAATTTCTACACAAAGATTCCATCACCTAATATCACACTGTTAATGATAAAAGCATTGGCGAGTAATATTTTTATTATGTTGTTTCATGAACTTGAAAGAAAACAAATATGTGGGAAAGTATAATATATAATTTTTATAAAAAGGAAATTCTTTAAATCATAAAAATACAAGCTAACAGAATATATAATTTTGCCCAATATTGTTATAGTTAAAATTTTCCAAAATATATAGTAAAGCTAAAATAGAAAAATTAAAATTGCATAAACCTATATATTTATGTTTGAGCAAAATCACTTGTTTAATTCAATTATTTGTATATAAGCTTATCGAAACCTAACCTTCCATTCTTTTAATCAAAGACCCATTAATGTTGTTATATTTAGAACATTTGCAAGTATATAAACTAGTTGTTATATTATTTATCTCTATATCTCGAATATGATGAAAATGAGGTTATAGTTCTTTGTCACTATATATTTACTATATATTTAAAATTTAATCAATGTATTGTTTATCTCTATATCTTTTTGTTATAAAGGTTTTATATTTATGATTTATATGATTGGAAATTAAATAGTTAATAACTATGTATGTTTATATATACATATATATGACACATCTATATAATTATAAAATTTATATGTAAAATTGTATTTTGTTTCAGACTGTAAATAGAGAGTGTACATAGTGTGATACTGTGAGTGCTTAAGTGAGATTTTATTGGCAATGAGTTCGAATAACAAATCATTGGTGTCCTCTGGAAGGGGCACCAACAAAAACAAGTCACAACAACATGGAAAATCAGATCATCATCAGACTAAATCATCAGATTCGACTAAACATGATAAAGCCCAGGTAGATATATTATTGCTCATATTTGTGTTGTTACTAATAATTGTATAATAATTATTCGTAACTTATTATTAAAACACATACATACTTAACAATTATATAATTTTGTGATAGCAGATATCTGTGAGTGTTAGAAATATTTATATATGCAATTATATATTTACAAAAGATTATTTTCTTGTTCACAACAAAATATTCAAATCATCTTATTGAACGATAAAAATTAAGTAAAAATATAACAATATAAACCTAAATAAAAACATTCAAATACAGTTGAAGCATTTTTAAGAGAATTTTAATGTTCAATTATTTTATTTAGCAAAACACTGTTCAGATCCGGCACGCACAAATCATTGACACTAGAATGGCAGGAGGTGAGGACTCTCTGAAGGAATGCGTCAAGCAAGTCATGGACATGACCCGACGATCTGAGGATGAGGTGGTCATGGCTTTGCACGACAACGATGGGGATCTGGATCGTGCTGTTAATGATCTCCTGGAAGATAGAGTGAAAGCAGAATGGGAGGTCAAAAAGAAGAAGCTGCGCCAACCGAGCGGATCCAAACAGAGTACAGATCAAACAGGTGGACAAGATGATAGTGGTGATTGGGAGGAGCGACGTAACCAACGTAGTGGCGGTCCTCCACGCATGCGAGGCCGTGCTAACCACGACAATCGTGGATGTTGGTTTAATTTCCTATTAAATTTTTCTCTTGTTTCTCATTTTTTTTCATTTTTCTCTTTTTTTGTTACTTGAAGGATAAATTTGTGATGTTTATAAAATTATATTTATTTACACGTAGGGCGCGGGCGGGAAAACAAGGAGAACGAAAGAAATATGGAGGACGGTATTCGCGACGGTAGCTATAGTAGAAGAGGAAGGGGTGGACCAGGAAGATCAGGTCGTGGAGGTCGTGGTGGCGGTAGAGGCCTTGGACCGCGAACGTTTGCAAACCGCAATGATCCAACATCTGCTTCCTCTACTCATAGTTTTAATCGTCCAATTGATACCTGGACAGGGAGTGAAGAGCAGCAACAAAGTATCCAAGAACCAAAAATGGGTAAGCTCTTTTCTTTGATAAATATTATTTCTCTTTTCCTCAAATTATAATAAAATATATAAGGGAATCGTTGCTTTTTTTTTTAAACAGAATGATATTGTGTTTACATTTACATAAAAATAAGAAAAAGAAAGCAAATATGATTGACACATATTAACTTGGTCGTGTACATACAGATGCGTGGAACAACCTGGATTCAACAGAAGATTGGGACAATGAAGAGTATACAGGTTCTTTGGCAGATACTAAAGTCTTCACTCCAAGCACATCTATCTTGGAATCTTCTCCTGCGCTAGACGAACCAAAGCCCCAAGAAATACCATCGACGCAATCAAGTCAAAATGTTAATTTGTCACTCCTGCAACAAGAAGTAAGATTTTATGAGATACACAACATCACGTGTATGCACATATGTGTGCGCATCCATATATTATCTATTTTCTTTCACATAATTTACAGGAATTGCCAAAACTGTCGGATATGTCGACAATGCAGCAGCAGAGCTTAATACAGCAACAACCTCCGCAGCAGCAGCAGCAACAGCCACAACCTGTATTGAGCCTGCCAACGATGCAGTTGTCGCAGCAACCCAGCGCCATTAGTAGTGGTGTACTAACAGCGGCGCAAACTCAATACTTGACACAACTTAGTCAACAATCGAGTGAGAACTTAAAAGCGGCAGGACAAACGTCGTTTACGTCAACCATGTCCAATCAGGTATAATAATATTGCTCTTCGAAATACTTTTATACGTATAATGAGTTTTTCTTATATAATTTTTAATATTTGATATCTGTAGTTTTGATATCTGTAGGCTATTTTGTAGGCTAGTATGTATACGTATGTGTACGAATTTTGTAGGCTAATATGTGTACGTATGTAAATTTCAGCCCCAAAGACAGACTAAGCAACGTCCTAGAGTCCCACCGCCATCCAAGATACCATCGAGCGCAGTGGAAATGCCGGGTGACGCGGTAAACAGTGGAATCGGCTTTTTGGATGTGCAGTTCGGTGCGCTCGAATTTGGTAGCGATTCTAGCTCTCTCGATGGATCTGCCAACGAGAAGTACAACTCCGCGAATAGTACAATTTCCGGTGTGGACATGACTTCCGGTCCGAATGCTGTGAACACTGCCAACACGAGTAATTCGCTCGACATCGAAACGACACAGACTTCCACGACACCGTACAATGCCAGTTCTCAGATGGTAATAACTTCTATTTGGTCCTGAAAAACCAAGAAATAAATAACGCTAATAAGAACCAATTCGCGCCATTGGTCACATGCAGATAATACTATTGTAAAATAAATTATAAGCATAATATATGTGTGTGATTTAGTACATAGAATATTTTGATCCGTTAGACTTTTTTCAGCTAACCAAAGAAATTATGATATTAAAATTATTTAGCATCCGCGACCGGTTCTTATTAGCCATATTGTCTTGCTTTAGTGGTTACTTAAAGAACTTGTTTATATATTCTTTGGCACGTTATTATACGTTCTTTGGTACATTAAAGAATGATAGATAGCGTCTAGTTTACTTTATGATTACTAATGCGATTTATAAGCATTTGTGTTGCGAGAAATACTGTCGAAGTTTTTGTGGCCGATTTGGTACATCCAACCTGGAAAGATCCAGGTTTGATTTCTAGCTGATGCAATATTTTTCGCAATTCCAGAGAATAATCATTTAATGCGTCATTTAATTAAAGAATGTTAGTATGTTTTTAATATTAATAATTAATAATTTGACATTGAAGGTGATTATATCCACATATGTTGCAAATCCAACGTAATAAGAAAAATCTTCGGTGCATGGTTTATTACACGTTCAAATATTCTCTCGTGATGTAAAGATTATTCGCGCTAACACCCGCGAACAGCTCTTACTGATCATATTCGTCTACTTTAGTTGTATACTTGTAGAGTTTTTGTGTATTTAATATAAATAATTATACCGCCGAGAAGTCGTAAAACAACAAATGTAGAGAACTCATATTTCGCTCATCTTTGTTGTCGTCTACAAATGTTTATGAGTGAGTGACGTAGCTCAACGATAAGCATAGATTTTCTTATTACGGCAATTGATTTATTTTTTCTTAGTAATAGGATTTTTTGCGCACGACTTATAGCGACTTGACTCTTATTAACTCTTGTTTCTTAGTAAATATTACTTCTTTTTTCAAGATTTGTTGTACATATTATTTTCAAATTGAAGACTACGATTATATATGAAATTTTTAGTTATCAGGTACTGATAATTTGCCGGTATCCAGCGAGCATTCGATTAGTTCGCAAAGTTTCACTGCGCGTGGAGGTAGTAGCGGTCAGAGTCTGGACATAACTAAACAAGACTTCACATCGCAAGTTTCGCCTGGAAATGCGCCGACGTACGGGCCCACGACGACGTACCAGTCGCAAAAATCGTCTTTCCAGCCGTCGAGTGGCACTCCGAGCACGTACAACGTATACTCAACGAACAGTCAATCCTCTCAATCCACCTTCCAGACTGCGTCGGCGTCAGCTAATACAAATAGCTACTCCGCGACGGCGACGGTTTCGCAGACGAGTTACAATTCGTCAACCTCGTTCCCGCAATCCAACGCATCGACTTTCAGCCAAGCTTCTCCCTCCGCGTCCTCATCTGTGACTTCTGGTTATAATCAGCCGACCACTAGCAGCCAGGTAATGATTGCATCTATCGATATATTACAAATCATCAAATAACTGAAAAATCATATCGAAAGTTACACTTTTATCTCCTTAATAGGTTTATCAGTCCGCGAGCGGGTATGTACCGACTACGACGTCCCAGTATCAAGCGCAATCTGTAGCTACTAATACAGTATCAAACAGCAACGCAGGATATCAAGCTTACCAACCACAGGCTTATCAGTCTTCGGTCACGACGTTTACGTCGCCAATAACACAGAGTTCGGCTGGCTACCAGAGTGCACAGTCTGTAAGTGTTTTTCTTTTTTTTTCAGTTTTCTATAGTATCATACACACTTACACCCATCCATCCATATATTAAAACTTGACCTTTAAATATATATGTGCAAACAATAAACTTCCGATAGGTATATGCAAGTCCGTACGCTAGCTATACCAGTCAACCACAGGCGGCAACTCACAATCATAAATTGAACAGCACTGCGACTAAGGATTCCCAGTACGATAGCAATGCAACAACGTCGAATAGCTCCCTCGCGACTACTACCGCGCCCACATTGGGACTTAGCTCTGCCTCGGTGAACAGTTCACAGACTAAAGTAACCAATTCAAACGGTAAGCGAGCACCATTTGGTAAGATTGATATATACAGTCGATAAGACGGTCAAGAAACGGTGAATAGGATTTAATGACAATGTTCTCGCGTTGATCTTAGCTGTGCCGAAAAGTACGTCAAGCGGAGTAGTGACGGGCAGCAGTGGTACCGGTAACATGACGGGCGGTGGTGCTGCTGGAAATATGACACCTATGCTCAGTCACCAATACATCATGGGCCAAGGTGTGCCTTACGCATTTCAACAACCAATGTACAGTTACGAGGAGCTGCAGCTCGTCCAGCAAAGAATACCGCATATGGTCAGTTACTGCTCGATTAATTAATTCGTTTATTCAAGTACGAACGTATTTTTCCACGGGTACCGTGCCCTCGAAGTAGCGTATAAATATATAGTATAAATAAATTATTTAGTGAACGATTCGTAATCGATTCATTATCATGTTAGTCACAATTATTTTTTTATGACGGTGATTCAAATGCACATTTGAATTGCCTATAGTACCTGAATATATCTGCTTCGAGGCACGCTATCTCTTATTTTATGTTATTGTTATCTGGTACGGAGAATGCCGAGGTATACGTTTCTTTATTGCTTGGTAGCTGCTCGTAATTACAATATTTTTTTACAAAATTTTCTCGATCTTCTCCTATGGATGCCTTCACAATGACAACGCAAACTCGTACTTGTTCGTAGTAAGGTGTATTGTACGAAACAAATACGCTAGTAAAGACAGATCGGGTTTCCTTAACACTACTGAGTTGTGAAAGTATATCTTATGGTAAAGGTGGGGGAGGTGTTGCTGGAAATGAAACTTGTTTTTGAGATTTCGTTCTACGAAGTTATGAAATAACTATTCCGATCTATCTTGGCTTATTTCTCTTTTTTCTTTATCTTGATTTAGTTTTTATTCCGCTATAGACTGTATGCGAGTGGTGTTACGTGTCCGAAACAGTATGAAAGTATTAGATTCATGCGTGCGCGCGGTCAAATGTATGTAAAAATGATGGAGGATAATCATATTGAACCGTTTTATTCAAACATCTTGGACTCTATAAATATCGAAGAGCCTGGTAACGGTGGTGGCAAATATTACATGTATATATCGTGCGTGTATACGAATATTTCTACAGCACAATTCGTCGGCAAGTTGAAAGTTTCAACCGAATGAATACACATTAATATCTTGACATAGCAAGCATAGCAAGAAATTTAGACACAACCATCTAGCATGTTACTTGTCCTAGCCCAGTACGCATAGAAATTAGTTAGCCTTCTTGTATTTGGAGTACACAGTGTATGCATGTAGTTTTGTGTTTGGCCTTCCTGACTAACGTGCAGCCAACTACTGGTTACTATGACGCGGCCCTGGGCTATCAGACAACCGGTCCCGCAACGAGTCTCGGTGGTGGCAGAGGCGATGCTCTATCTGGTGTGCAAGGCGTTCAAGGAGTACAGGGAGTGCAAGGAGCCTATACCAGTATTAGCGACGCCAGGTTCGCCAGAAACGACAGCAATGCTTCACCAGTACCTTCCACTATGTCACAACAAGTAAGTTTCTGCGCGCGGTGAAAGTCGAAACGGAAACGTTGATGTGTGAGAGAGAATCTTTGTCGTATAATGATGAATTATTCGCAGACCGCAACGCAGCATCAGCAACCGATAATGAACCCTACACTTCCGCCTGGTTACGCATACTTTACCTATGGCGGTGGAATAATGCCTGGTGGTTTTCAGTACGGGACCCCCGCTATTTATCCGGTAAGTTTAAAAGCCCGAGAGTCACAGAAGTCCAATGAACCAACATGAAAATATTTATTATTGTTCACATTGCAGCAAATCGCTACGGCTGGTAATGCAGGTACGAATAGCGGTGCGTATAGCGCTAAGCCAGGCAGTTATGGATCTGGTTACGGTGCTGGGGCTAGCTACGACGCTCTAGCTTCCGCTGGCCCATCCGCGGAGTATAAAGGTGCCGGTAGCAGCTACACTGCTACCCAGACTGGCAAAACCGGCACTTCCACCGGCAACACTAATACCGCCGGTTCTTCCGCGACAGATATCAGCGCTACGATGTATGCCAAGAGTCACGTGGCTCTCGGCAAAGTGAACGTAAGTAATGTCGCGAGGCGAGTGAACGTAGGCCGTCCGTAGAACAAATCTGCGTAAAGTTGCGTGCTACCGTTCTCAACTGACCCTTCCACTATTGTAGTCTTACGAAAAACAGACTTTCCACTCGGCTACACCGCCGCCGTTTGGTCTGACGGGTGGTCAAAACGCCGGCTTGCCCGGCAGTTACGGTACGCCGCATCTCTTTATCCCGACTATGCCCCATCAATTGCATCAGCCGCTTCATCAGGACGGAGCCAACAGCACGGGACAGAGATCTAACACGAGTTCGCAGAATAAGGCTCAGGCGAAACCTGGATACAGTCCTAGTTACTGGGCTGGCAGCAATTAAACAAAAATACTACCGGAATTGATGCACTGAGGAAAAAGGACGAGTTTGTAACGTACTAAAGAAATCTAGCTTGTCCGTTATTGTGAGAAACTTTTATGTGCTACAGATATACTGAATTCGACACGTGAATATTTGAGACGACATATGAAAATAATAGACAAAGAACATCTTTTGAGGATAAATTTAGATTTTATTGTAACACGAGTTAATAAGTAATGAAGAGAATTTTTCTCCAAAAAAATCGAAAGATATATGCAATTATTAACCTAAGGCATTATTCAATTTGTAACGATAATTAGAACCATCAATTTCGGATTTATGTTTGCGTACAATATCAGCGGTTAATCTTATTTATTTAATTCGGTGAAAGGAAACCGAATATATATATACAATATATATATATATATATATATATATATATATATATATATATATGTATGTATGTATATATATATATATATATATATATATATATATATATATATATATATATATATATTATACATAGGAAGAGAGAGAAAAAAAAGTTTCGAATATTTTGTTGGTTTTAGCGCATTTTCCGACATTTCCAATATACAAGAGCGCGTTACAAGTAAGATAACATCTTACAAAGTGGAATATGCACAAAAAACCTATATAATAATTTGCATATTCTTTCAAATTTTTCAAGTTGCACTCGTGCCAAATGAAGTCATAGCATCTACCGCACGATGATCGCATAATATCATCAGATATGACTTGTCACATTGATCAAGTTGTGAAAAAAGAAAAGATTACTGGCACGTCGCGATACGATGATCGTACGACGATCTGTATCATACTAATTGTGTCATAGAACATCGAAGAGAAAACCAGAAAAGAAAATATTCGTTGAGTTTGTCTCGTTGAAATCGCTCGACTGTACACAGTGCAATTTTGAATACATATATTCAAAGTATATGTATATATCGACTGCGATGATAGCGTCTCCTTGTCTTTATTTTATCTTCTTTTCTTTTTCTCGTACGTAATAAGCATCTTGGCTTGTTAATGCGAAAAGCGCATTTCTGCGAAACAACGGAAAGCTGTACCGCTAGAAAATTACGATACACGTGTACATGTGGAATCGTTCTAACATGGTATATGTACAAATTTGTCGTAATTAAAGCGCTTTTATTTTCGACATGTAAAACACGATCTCGTGAGGAGAACTGTTGCACAGCGAGTGGTCTCGTTGCACTCGCAATGGGATTAACTTAACTAACTACATATATATATATATATATATATATATATATATATATATATATATA